GTGAGAATCACCCCTCTCAGCGCCCAGGGGCGTTCCCGGCGCCCTCGTATTCGGTGGCATTTTACCAACTGTCCCAGCGCGATGAGCAGAGAAGAGAGAAACATATGATAGGGTGACGGTAGGATGTGAGCGAACAAAATGTAAGGGTATCGGATGTGAGCCGGTTCCTGAAGGGCAACCTGGACACGCGAAAATAAGCGTATCTCTTCAATGGCGCGATTCCTAAAAGGCGGGGGCGCGGCGCCTGCGTCAATTGCAAGGAAGTGTCAAGCGGGAGCGCGATTCTAGGATACATTGCAAGGAAATCCCTAGCGAGAGCGCGATTCCTCAGTAAATCGCGAGGAAGTATAACGCAGGAGCCGTTGTTGTAAACAGGGGGCCAGGGGAATAGTTTGAGGAGGAAGACTTCCCCTAATACAAATGGGTGCAAGCCCCGGGAAGAGCTCTTCAATTGAAAAACACAAGTGTTGCCGGAAGGGGTGATCAACAATTATTCTGCAGCAGTGAAAATTCTACGACAAGAAAAACAACCACAACAACAGCAACAGCAACAACAACGACATCAACAACAACGACGACGACAGTCACATAACAACAACAACAACAACAACAACAACAACAACAACAACAACAACAACAACAACAACACACAAAACAATAACAACAAGAACAGCAACAATAATTTTAAGACCGATCGCCCTTACATGCTCGAGTGTCCAATAACGCGTATTTCCCAAAAACGCTCGATACCCGCCCTCATCGTCTTCGATCGAACCCCTTTTGGGGGGTATACATTTCTTCCCTGCAGGTCGGGCCCCGGCAAGCGGCGGGGCGGCCGCGGACCGTCGGCCTGGCCAGCGGCAGCGCTGATCGGCGGGGCGGCCGCGGACCGTCGACCCTACGCGGAGAGGGACGGACAGGGGACCGACCACGACGACGACGACGACGACGACGACGACGACGACGACGTCGAAGACGACGGCGATGACGACGACGACGGCGACGACGAGCGAAAGCGAGAGCGAGAGAGAACGACAGCAGGGCCACGAAGGGCACGAAGTAGGCCACGAAGGGCGGGGCCGCGAAGAGCGCGAACGAGCGGGGGCCACGAAGTGCAGATAATGCGGGGCCACAGAAGGCAACTATGGGGCCGCTGAGGGTAGCAACTGGGCCACGTAGGACAGTGAGGGGGGCACTAATGGCGACAGCGGGGCCACGAAGGGCATGCACATGGGGCCACACTGGGCGCGACTCCTGGGTGCCTGGGTGTCGGGAGCGCGGCGCTTGGGCAAATTGCAGGAAATTCCAACGCAAGGCCATTCAGTAAGTTGCAAGCAGGGCTCCAGCAAAAGCGCGACTCGAGAGCGCCGGGAGAGCGATCCCTGAATAAGAAATAAGGAAGTCCCAAGCGAGAGCGCGATTCCTGAATAAAAAGCAGGGAAGTATCTGGCGGGAGCGGGAGTCCTGGCTAAATTGTAAGGGAATATCAAGCGGGAGCCGTTGTTGTTGTAACCCGGGGGCAAGGGGCCCAGTTTGAGCAGGAAGACTTTCCCTGTCAAAAAACAGGGTGCGAGCGTCGAGGGGCATACTTTGATTGAAAAACAGTATGCGCTGGTGGGGGGGATCAACAACAATTATTTTTCATAAGTGAGAATTCAACAACAACAACAACAACAACAAAAACAACAACAACAACAACAACAACAACAACAACAACAACAACAACAACAACCCCAACAACAACCAAAACAACAACAACAACAGCAGCACCACCAACAACAACAACACAAGCACCAATAACAACAACAGCAACAGCAACAGCAAATGCAACTGCAACAGCAACAGCAACACCAACAACAGCAACGAAAATCCGCATCGCAGATCCCAACTTCAGCCACGCGCCCAGGGACACAGAATTACCGTTCGGCCTCCTCACTTTGACGTAAAGCACATGGGATTGGAGCCACTCCTGTGGCCTTCTGAAGCCTCCAGTTCCTGTAGCCTCTTGGGGCCTCCTGTGGTCCCTTGGGGCTTCCTGTCGCCTCCTGGGGCCTTCTGGAACCTCCTGCCTCCTGGGGCCTCCTGGAGCCTCCTGTTGCCTCCTGGGGGAGGATCCGTGCCCACGAGCCACCAAAACAAGTAAACCGCTGGAGAAATCCTCGCAATCTGGCCCCCCTGGGGTGCGAAAACCAGCGACTCGCCTGAGAAATCCTCAAAGTCTGCTCCGAAAGCGGACGCTGCTGGGGACGCACACAAGCAAACCGGTCAAACAATCCCCACAATCTGGGCGCGAACGGACGTGTGATATACCCTCTGGTGCCCCCCCTTGCGCGTGCTGAAACTAGCCCTCGCGCAAGACGTCCTCAAAAGCTGCTCTATCATCATCATTATCATCATCATCATCAGCAGCAGCAGCATCATCATCATCATCATCCTCATCCTCCTCCTCCTCATCATCATCATCTTTATCATCATCATCATCATCATCATCATCATCATCATCATCATCATCATCATCATCATCATCATCATCATCATCATCTCATCATCAGCATCAGCATCAGCATCTTCATTATCAGCATCATCATCAGCATCATCATAATCATCAAAATCCTCATCAGCATCATCATCAGCAACAGCATCAGCATCAGCATCAGCATCGCATCAGCATCATCCTCCTCATCATCATAACCATCCGCAGCATCATCATCACCAGCAGCATTATCACCAGCAGCAGCCGCATCAGCATCTTCATACGCATCACCAAAATCAGCATCATCATCGGCAGCATCATCATCGTCATCATCCTCAGCATCATCAGCATCGTCATCGTCATCGTCATCGTCGTCATCATCATCGTCATCTTCATCGTCATCGTCCTCATTAGCATTATCCTGATCCTCATCATCATCATCATCATCATCATCCTCATCATCGTCGTCATCGTCATCGTCATCATCATCAACATCATCAACAACACCATCATCGTCATCATCGTCATCATCATTGTCGTCATCAGCAACATCGCCGTCATCGTCAACGACATCGTCATCGTTACCATTATCAGCATTGTCATCATTGTCATCATTATCGTCATCGTCTTCGTCAGCATCAGCAGCATCAGCAGCAGCACCATCATCATGATCATCATCATCATAGTCATACTCGTCATCATCATTAGCAGCATCAGCATCAACAGCAACAGCATCATCGTCATCGTCATCGTCATCGACAGCATCATCATCGTCGTCGTCATCGTCATCGTCATCATCATCATCATCATCGTCATCGTCATCGTCGTCATCATCATCATTGTCATCATCGGCATCATCATCGTCAGCATCGTCGTCATCTTCATCGTCATCGTCATCTTTATCATCATCAAAATCATCATCTTAATTACCAACATTGCCACAATCATTAGCATAACCATCATCATTATGACCCTGATCATAGCCGGCGCCTTGCTCGAGACATCATCAACGATTCTCCGCCATCATCACCAGCAGCAGCATCACCATGATCATCATCAGCATCATCAGCATCATCAGCATCATCAGCATCAGCATCGTCATCATCATCATCAGTATCACCATCGTCAACACCACCACCACCACCATCATCATCATCATCAGCATTCTCATTATCACCATCATCATCATCATTATCATCAGCATCATCATCATCATCTTCATCGTCATCATCATCGTCATCATTACCATAAGTGTCATCCACATTGTTTGTCGTCATCATTCTCATCAACAGATCCACCATCCTGCTCATCAGTATCAACACTAACGTCATCATCACAATAACCTGAATAGCGACTTGAGTATGACCTGGAGGAGGAGGAGGGAGGTGAGGTGAGGAGTCGGCGCGGTCGACATAATGGTAAGAACCTCATCCTTTGGATAGTGGGAAAAAGAATCCCATGCTTGGGATATGGAGAAAAGCTGCTATGATATATCATGGCGACAGTCATCACTGTCGCCACCCGAATCATCATCATCATCATCATGATCATCATCAGCATCATCATCATCATCATCATCAACATCAACATCAACATCAACATCATCATCATCATCATCATCATCATCATCATCATCATCATCGTCACCATAACAATCATCCGTAGCATCACCATCGACTTTCTTGCGTGAGGAAAAGGAGGAAGGAGAGGAGGAGGGAGGCGAAGGAGGAGTCGGCGCGGTCGGCATCGTAACACGAATCCAATGTGTAGGATATGGGGAACAAGACACAGTGAAGGCATATCGACTCTGAGAGTAGGAAGGCGCTTAAGATTGATTGGAATCTGGGAATCCATACCTTCCTACTTCCGACGACCGGCGTGCAATGGTCGGCCGCATACAAGAGCGAGTGACCCTGGGCTAAAGTGACCTTTGCTGCGCGGCCCCAAGGTTAGATCGGGCATGTCCTCCTACAAGGGGATCTTGGACGAACAATTTACAATATTCAAAAAATACCCCCAGACAGTCAAAAATAGTCCAAAAATCGTCACCAGACTATTTTTGACTATTTTTGAATTTTCTTCCTGTAGAGGAACGTGCCCGACTTAACCCGAAGGGGGCGGCGGGGGGAGCCAAATCCAAGCAACCCAGGCGCGGCAGCCTGTGCTGGTGGGCCGGCACCAGGTCACTGTGGCGCGAGCGGCCGCTCTTGCCCGTAGCCGACATGGTGGGCGGGTCATGAAAATCGGCGGCGACGATAGGGGCGAATAGCCCAGGGGCGGGCATTTCACGTGTTCGCTTGGGAGCCTAGTCGAAGACATAGAGTATCGGCGCCCCTCGATACACGTATTGCTCTCCCCTGGGCTATTCGCCGCCTATCGTCGCCTCTGAGAACAGGGGGGCGACGATGCGTGTACCTTTCTGGGCCCAAGGGGGGGCCCTTTACGGGGCGCAAGCGAGAGGCGCACCTCTCCTAGGACCCCCGCTCGTCGCCCCCCGCGCGCCGCATGCGCCACGCCCGAGTCCTGCTCCGGCGAGTCTACGCCAGACACGGCCACGAGGCACTCGGCCAGGCGCTCCAGCTCGCCCTGCAGCCCCAGCGGGCGCGCGTCCGCCTGCAGCTCGGCGCAGAGGTCGGCGTAGTGTCGCGCCAGCTGCCGGCGGACCACCCTCAGCAGGGCCTCTGCGGCACGGAAACATATGCGTACAAACACCCGCCCTGCCTGTGGCTTCAAGGGAGGGTGGCGGTGTATAAAATCGTTGGCTTCTACGGCACGAAAACATGTACTCACAAGCGCCCGCCCTGCTTGTGGCTTCAAGGGAGGGTGGCGGTTGATAAAATCGTTGGCCTCCACGGCACGAAAACATGTACTCACAAACACCCGCCCTGCTCGTGGCCTCAAGGGAGGGTGGCAGTTTGCAAAATCGTTGGCTCCTCGTCGTGATTCATGGGACGCCACCCTCCACATGAGGCCCAGGCACAATCCACTTAAGGTTGTCTGTGTCAACATGTTTGTGGCGGAGCCTCGAGCTCGTCCTCCGCCAGGCGCGCCTCCGTCCCGTCCGCCTCGGCGCCAGCGGCTGCGGCGCTGACTGCCTCGGCGAGCGCGACGTCAACCTCCGGCGCGAGGATGTGGAACAGCTGGTACGTCTGCTGCTCCAGCTCTTCCAGCGCGTCGAGCTCTCGGCCCATGGAGGCCAGCTTCGCCTCGCAGCTACTTCTCAACGCCGCGGCGGCGGCCACGTCTGCGGCAGCGGCAGCGTCGCCAACGGCGGCGCACAGCTCCGCGAGGGTGGCGAAGTCTGCGCTGGCGCTGTCCCTGTAGAGGTGCGCAGCTCGAAGCTGCGCGTGCAGCTTCCGGCCCAGCTTCACGAAACCGGTGATCCTCTCCTCGGGACAGCAAGGCACCGCTCCCCGGACCTCTCCCCGGGTGCGTTGTGACCAGAGTCTCGAGGCGACTCCAGCGGTAGCGACGTGGACCTCCCAGGAGGCCGAAAAAGGCGAAGACAGGGCGAGGGAGCGAATAGCAAAATTCGTTTGCCGCAAACCTGATGTCTTTGTAACATCTGCGAAAATATACATAATATGCTCCGTAGATCTACAAGAGATCGACGTATTATTGGTAGACTCGACGAAAAAGCATTTTTGGGGTAAACCAATCTGGTAGTCGATCTCCTGCTCGAATGATGGCGGTATCGGTCCCTTTTCCTCCTCTGGTCTCCGGCCAGCCGACACACAGACCGCTGCCGAGCGCCTCCACGGAACGCAGCGTGAGCAGCAGGTCGCCGTGCTGCTCCAGCAGCTCCAGGCGCCGGCGCTGCTCTTCTGCCAGCTGCTCCACAGCGCGCTGGGCCTCCTCCTGAGCCGCCCTGCGGTCCTCCTCTAAGACGAGACCATGACAAGGACAAATTCGGTTGAGGATAAGTCGAGTACCTATGAGATCTGGAGGCTCTGGAGGTATCGGGCGCTGCGGCCTTCTCAGAGCGTCCCGCAACGCTCTGAGAGGGTGCGAGAGCGCTCTGGAACGGACTTGTCCTTGTCCTAGCCCCGCCCGACTCCTCGTACTGCTTGGACTTCTGCTGCTTGTCCTCCCAGCTCTGTGAGATGAAGGCCTCCAGCTGCTGGATCTGATTCTGGTGCTTCTCCTGCAGCTCGCGCTGTTCCCCGGGGCCGGCCACCGACATGGCCTGGTCCAGCTTCTGCCTCAGCGCCTGCACCTCCATCTCGAGCTGTTTCACCTGGGCGGCTTCCTATGGGGGGGGCAGCAAGGCACCGATACAGCTACTCCCTGGAACTCTCCAGGAGTGCGTTCTGACAGGGGATTCGAAGCGAATCCCCCCGTGGCGACGAGGGAAAGGTAGCGGTATCGGTCTCGTCCTCGGGTGATCCTCGTTCTTGAGCACCACGGTCTTGATCACCTTGGCGCGCCTGGCGTAGTTCAACGTCGACAGAGTCTCCTCCGCGGCGCCAGGCGCTGGGCTCAGCGTGGCCACCATGGTGCACAGACAGTTTCCGCCCAGGCTCTCCTGCAGCAGGGCTGGACCTAAAAGTTGTTATTCGTTTTGTTTTCGTTTTGTTGTTCGTGTTGCTCTAATTACCTGTTGTCCTGTTCCTCCCTCACAGAGCGAAAAACAAAACACAGCCGAAGTCCAGCAACACAGCGTTTAGGTCCAGCCCTGTCCTGCAGCACGCGCGTGAGCTTCGAGTCGCGAGGGCCGGAGGAAGGGGCCGGCCGAGACGACGGCGGCCGTCCCTGGCGTGCTCGCCAGCCCCTCGGGGCCTCCCGGGCGCCTCTCGTCGCCACGGCTGCATCCGCCTCGGACACCGAGGCAGGATGGACCCTTTTGGAGTCCCGAAACGGTGCGGTGACAGACCGTGCGGTGACCTCGAAATCCCCCAAGACCTCACCGCACGGTCCGTCCACGCACGGCTTTGGGACCTCGAATGCCAGAGTCGCCCGAGACGTCCTCAGCGAACGACCCGAGTCCCAAAACCGTGCGGTGACCCCGAGTCCCCACCGACTCACCACACGGTGTGGTCACCACACCGTGTGGGGGCCCCCGAACCCTGGGAGGGGTCCCTGTGACGGGCCCAGGACGGATTCCGAGCGGATCTGGGCCCAGGAAGAAAGCCGCCGGCGTCCCAATCCAAGGAAAAAAGAACGGCATATAAAGCATAGACTTTCGACGGCCCGCGAAAGAATTCTTGGGTCTGCGCGGGTTCCCCTCTCCCTGGCGCGCGGAGCGAGCCCAGGGGTGGCGCCGGGGGCGCCGTCAGCGGGGCCCAGCGCAGATCCAGAAGTTCCGCGCGGAGCGCCCGAAAGCTCTTGTTCATGCAGTTCTGTCCTCCTTCGATTGTCTTTGTCGGCCCTCCTCCGAGATAGGGCACGTAGACCTTCTTCTTGCCACTCTCCATGGAGCTGAGCGAGTTGATCACGTTCCCGAGGGCGCTGAGGGACTTGTTGATGTTCGCCCCCTCCTTCAGCCGGACGCCCTCGGCTCCGGTCGCCTTGGCGCGCTCTGAGCCAGCGAGGTCGACTAAGTTGACCTGTTGGCGACGCTCAAGGGAGTGGAGGGATGGGAGAAGGAGTCTTAGAAGAAGGCTGCTTCTTAGAGGGCGCCAGACCCGCATCTGTGGACAAGGCCCGCGCCCTCTAAGGAGCAGAGGTGCATCTAACAAGCCCTCCCCCCTCCCCCACACCCCCCTCCCCCCTCTCCGCATGGCTCAACCTTGCTGATTGTGTTCTTGGTGCTGTCTACCGTGTCCTTCTGGTGTAGTTTGATGGTGAATACGCAGTGGGAGCGCGAGGACCTGTCGTTCATGTTCGTCGACGCAGTGGATCGGTACTCGAAGCCGTCACGGATCAACCGACTCAACCTCTGAGCGTCCTCGACGACTATCTCCGTCAAGTCCTTCACGTAGATGCCGATACCCTTCGCCTCCTTAATCTCCAGGCCTCCACCCTTCGACTGCTTGCTCCGCGGCACGAGCAGATCGTGCACCACCTCGTTGTAGATCTCCAGGAAGCTGCACTGCACAAGGAAGCCCCTGCTGGAATGAGCGGCGGTAATCTCGTCTATGCGCCGGTACAGCCCAGCACTGATCCTGGGCACCAGTCCCCAGTCCTCCTCTGGGCCCGCGTGGCTCATCATCGTGTGGGTCTTGCCGCTACCAGTCTGGCCGTAGGCGAAGATGGTGCTGTTGTAGCCGCCAAAGGCCTGGTCCAGGCACTGCACGCCGAGGCCCTGGAAGATCTGCTCCTGGCTGGTCCCATCGCCGAACACGTGGTCGAAGATGAACGAGTGCTCCTGGCCCGTGTGCTCCTCCTCCCCTCCTCCTCCCCCCCTCCTCCTCCTCCTCCTCCTCCTCCTCCTCCTCCTCCTCCTCCTCCTCTTCCTCCTCCTCCTACGCCCTCCTCGTCCTCCTCCTCCTCCTCCTCATAATGCTCCTGGCCCTTGTGCTCCAGGACCACGCGCTGAGGGCCAGGATAGCTCAGCGTGCGCTCGCCCGAGCCCGCGGTGGCCAGCTCCCGCCCGTTCAGCGGCCGCGTGCGCACAGCGACGACAACGTTGGCCTTCTCCTCGGCCTCGTCGCCCTGCCGTCGCGGCGCAGCCGTGCTCGGGGCAGCCGCCACCGGTGGCCCATCGGCCATCTGCCCCTGGGGGTGCGGCTGCCAGCCGCCGCGCAGCCCAGTTCCCTCCCTCCCCATCTGAAGAGGCCCTGGGACACACAAATAAATACACACAGATAAATAGATGGGATCCCCCCACCACCCGTCAAACAACCAGACAAAACACACGCGGCGGCGGCGGCGGCTGCGGCGGCTGCGGCGGCGGCGGCGGCTGCGGCGACTGCGGCGGCTGCGGCGGCGGCGGCGTTGCGGCGGCGGCTGCGACGGCAGCGGCTGCGGCGGCGGCGGCGGCGGTGGGGCGGCGGCGGCGGCGGCGACGGCAGCGGCTGCGGCGGCAGCGGCGGCGATTTGGCGGCGGCGGCGCGGCGGCGGCAGCGAGGCGGCGGCGGCGGCGGCGGCGTCGGCGGCGGCGGCGGCGGCGGCGCGGCGGCGGCGGCGGCGGCGGGAAGCGGCGGCGGCGGCGGCGGAGGCGGCGGCGGCGGGGGCGGCGGCGGCGGACTCGCCACCAATAGCTGCCCATCCAAAGACGACTGCTGAATATGCGGAGGAACGGGCCAGACTCGGGTGCTACGTATGTGTTGGGAGGGCGGGTGGGAGTGAGCGAGACGGCTTACGGGCGGGGGAAAGTCTTGACCCCTTCCCCTACCCCCTCTCTTGGCCTTCGACGTGGGGGGGCCGCGACGGGCTACAGCGCCCAAGATGGCCCAAGATGGCTCCAAGAGAGCCTCAGAGAGTCCAGGATGGCGTCCAAAATGACCTCAGACAACCGAAGATGCTTCAAGACAGTTTCCGACATGCCTCCAAGAGGCCCAACGAGGCCACAAGACGATTCCAGGTGCCCTCGGAGACCCATCAGGACCCCCAGAAGCAAAAATCCTCCAAAGACCTTAGTCAAATCAATGTGTGTTGCACTCTCGCCTTTAAGCTTCCGATGCGCTTCTGAGGCCTCAAGATGGCCCCAAGATGGCCCACGAGAGCTCCAAGAGGGACTCAAGAGGCCCCCAAGACGGCCCCCAAATGGCCCAAGAGAGTTCCAAGAGGGGGCCAAGAGCGTCCCAAGATGCTATTGTGATGGCCCAGAAGGGGGGACTAAACGTTAGTACCCCCCTCATTTTACCGACACCCTCCACGACAACCCCAGGAGGCCCTCCAGGGCCCCCACGAGGCCTTGCCACAAAGATCTGTCTGTTCACCCCGGTTGCTCGCTTTATTTCGATTGATGTCTCTTCGCCGCTGTTCCCGTCAGCTCTCAAGGTCAGGGTCTCTGAATGGGCTGGTGGGGATATGTTTTGGTTCGCGGCCCTAAGGCGAGGCACAGGGAGCGAGCACAACGTCCGGGGCGCGTGACTATGTAAATTGGCCTCAGAGGCGAATGCACGTGCCAGGGACAAAATGACCCTCATTCAGACGCATACTGCGTCGGCGGGAGACCGGCCCAAACATCCCGGCAGGTGGGGACGCAGGCGCGGCGACCGGCGGAGGAACGGGGGGGAGAAGTCGCCCTTGCGGCGCCAAACTCCAGCCGAACCACACTCGGCGAGGCCAGGAGGCGGAGGGGGGGGGGGAGAACGGAAGGGGGGAGGGGGAGAGAGCGAAAGCGAGCGACTACCACAGGCTCACTGCAGCACCACGAGTCAACGATGGTGCGGCGAACGAGGCCTGACTCATCGAGGCTCACTGAATCTGAGGTGTAGCTGATCCGCGTCGAAGCGCCATGCAGTAGAGGAAGACCACTGGTGTGCGCTCACGAGGCTGAGCAACCTCCAGCCAAAGCCAAGGCGTGCACATCGCATCCGACCCACGCAGTTCGGGGGCAAAAAGATGCAAAGTACTGACGGGGGCTGGTTGCGGACTGCTCTGCTGGGGGAAACACCTCGAACTGCCGCGGGCTGAACCACTCAATGCAGGGCCGCCCCCTGACGAAGCCAAACAATGGGCGTCACCGAATGCATGGCTGACGGCCGCGCCCGATCCACACCTCCAGCCGGTAGCCAGCGTGTCCACAGCGTCTCCGACTCACGCAGTTCGGGGGCACAACGATGCAAAGTGCTGACGAGGGCTGGTGGCCGGGGCAGCTCTGAAGAGGCGGCCGCGTACTGCAGAAGGCTGAACCACTCACTGCAAAGCCGCGCACTTGCAAAGGTGCGGCTGATCCGCGCCAGAGCGCCATCCAGTAGAGGAGACCACTGGTGGGCGCTCACGAAGCTGAGCCACCTCCAGCCGGTAGCCAGCGCTTGCACATCGTATCCGACTCACGCAGTTTGGGGGCACAACGATGCAAAGTACTGACGAGGCGGGTAGCCGGGGCTGCTCTATGGCTGCGCCGAGAAGTGCGACACGAACATGGACCGCAGAAGGCTGAACCACTCGATGCGGGGTCGCACACTTGACGAAGCCAATCGCCATGTGCATGGAGGACAGCCGCAACCAATCACCACCTCCACGCTGCCCATGCAGCAGCCGGATGCCTCCGCCGCCAGGGCATACAGGTGGCTGTCTGCTGTCGAGCTGCGGAGCTGCACTGTTCGCTGGCGGCGTGCTGACATACCACTGCGTACTTGCAGTAGAACCGTGGTTGGGTCGGCGATGAGGGGCCGATGCTTCCTGGGCAGGTCCCAGGGCGGGCGCTCTTCAGCGCCCGACGCAATCTTCCCAGTTGATCGGGGGGGGGGCGCAGCCGAAAGCCGGAGAGACACTGCGACGAGGGCCCGGAACTTCCTGGGCAGGTCTCAGGGCGGGCGCACTTCAGCGACCGATGCAATCTCCCCAGCAGATCGCGGGGGGCGCAGCCGAAAGCCGCATAGACACTGCGAATGACGGAAGAGGAGGAGGAGGAGGAGGAGGAGGAGGAAGAGGAGGAAAAGAAGGGGGCGCCGCCAAGGCCCGGGACGCGTCGACCGAACCACTCGACGCGGGGCCGCTCGACGGAGCCGATCCACATGTGAATGGAGGACAGCCGCCTCCACTCAACGCCACCACGCGGTCACGTAGAAGCCGTCTGCCTCTGACGCCAGGGCGCGCAAGTGGCAGGAGGCTGCCAACCTGCTGGGCTGTGCCGGTCGCTGGCTGCCCGCTGTCGTGCCAGGGCGACCTCTGTAGAAGCATTGGCTGTTCCGCTGCGCCTGATGCAATCTCTGTCGACGGGGGGGGGGGGGGCGCAGCCGAAAGCCGCAGAGACAATGCGAATGAGAAGAAGAGAAGTGGGGGCGCAGCCGAAAGCCGCAGAACACGGATATCAATACACAGAGCATCCATGTACAGAGCTTCATGGCCACGGGGGGGGGGGGCTGAGCAAGGGCGGTGCGGTGGGTGATGTGGTCCACCAACCGCCGTTCACTGTGCGATGCAACTACCAGGCGGCGCGATGGGTGGTGGGCCGTGGCGACCACCGGCTCGCTGCCTGCCTTCGAGGGAGGCGTCGTAGCGCGGGGTCCTTCCTAGGCTAGGCTGCGTGCACTCCCAAGTCGAGGGAGCCAACCGCGGCGGTGGGTGCTCCTGCGCTGGCTGGGGGGGATGGGCCAGTCTCGCACGGGCCCCACGCTGCGTCCCCGTCCTCTGGATCAGGAGTCCCGACCCCGTGGACGCTTATCGGCGCGCGGGTGATTTCCTCTTGGGGAGTAGCGTTTGCCCTTCGCCTTCCAGTCTGCGTCGGTCCATGAAGCACCTTGGTGCCCCCACGTGTCCCATGACTGCCATCCGCGCCACGACGAGGCAGAGCTTGATGCACCAGTCCACTGATCTGGGGGGGACGCACGTGCCGCCTCTTTGCCCGCTGTGGTCCAAGGGGGTGGGCGGCCACTGCTGTCGACCCCTCGAGCGCAGTGTGGTCTGGCGTCGCGTTGCAGGACCCTGCGGTGTCGATCCTTGGCACCCAGCCAGTCAACTTCGAATTTGCACTCTCTGTCCATCCTATAGGCATCGAATTCCGCTTTGCTCCATGCCTGGAGGAAATCGCTGCACTGCTGTACGGAGTTTAGCTTGGGATCAAGTTTGGTAAAGTGGCCCCCTCTCCTCGACGCTGCCTTCGTGACCCAGAAGCGCCCCAAACTCCGTTGAACGCGCCTCCCAGCGTCTTCTGCAGACGTGAGATCTTGTCAAGTGCTGGCTCATCTCTTGAGACGTCCGCTGTGTCGACTGGACACATGTGCATGGGGATGCCTCCCATGGGGTCGTCATGGTGTTCTGCGGGTGGCTGCGTTCTCCGCGTGTTGTTCCAGGAGGCCTGGGTGGCGCGCGGTAGCCGGGGGACGTCGCATGGGGGTGGGGTGGCCGAGCGTTCCCTGGCCTATTTTCATCAATCACAGGTGGTCGCCGGTTACTTCCGCCATCCGCATATCTCAGAGACCTGTTGTCCCGGGCGTCGTTCAGGCTCCCTCTCTCCGACTGCTCCCCTGAAGGCGGCCTGCTCGCAAGGCGGCCAGACTTCAGAGTCGCTCCTGTCGGGGGGGGGGTCCAAAGCTGGAGGGGGTCATGGATCGCCTTGTCATCCTCAGGAGCAGCTGTGTCACTTAGGTCGTCGTCGGGGTTGGTGGAGCTGACTTGCGAGCTGGAGCCTACGGAGATGTCATGCGGGCTGGATCGCGCGCAGCCGTCTGACTCGGATTTTCTGCCCCCCTCTTCTCCCCAGTCAACCCCTTCCACATCGCCTTCGCCTTTGCACTGCCCCGGTGGGGTTTGCCCCTCTGCCTGGGGGGCGGAAGTCCGGTCAGCCTCGGCAGGCTGTGGGGAAGGCGCGACGGCGCGGGTCAGGGATGCTCCTTGGGCCTCCATTCCGCGTTCCGCCGCGGGAAATTCCTTGCTGCTGGTTGCCCTGTTGAGCCAGCTGGCGGCTGGTGACCCATCCCCGCCAGAGCTGCTAGCTGCCGTCTCGAGGGGCAGGGCGGCGAGGTGATTGATGGTGCCCCTGGCCAAGTCGGAGCCTTCCAACCTTGTTAGGAAAGCCATCAGGGTGTGAAACGGCTGTCGGAAGGGGCACTGCCTCTTCTGGTCGGTGAGGCTGTCTGCATAGCGGTCCCATTCTT